TTGTCCTCAAAGAAATTGACTTCACGTGGAAATGTCAACTCGCTCCCAGACGCAGTTTTAACCTTTTGGGGTCTGCAGTACCTAGTAAAGATTGTTTTTAAAGTGTAGCCATCAGAAGGTTTACAGCAATGCTAAACCAATGCCACGCATGCAGAGGAGAGGACCTATAGTCACCCAAATATGCCTGGGTTGGGTGATTTCGTTGAAACAATCTTTCCAGAGGAGGAGGTTACAGCAAAATGCTAGACGCGGCCACCAACCCTTGGCCTCTCTGGTAAACAATCCCCACAAGTTATTGTTCTAAAAAGTCTCATCGTTTTTAGTTTCTAATCTCCAGGACACCTGGAGCTGAGCTCCAAATGGCTCTGGGAGCCCAGACAATTAACAGGAGAAAATGGGATTCGAATTAGCTGCTGACACTTAAACAAGGGGGTGGGATATAGGAGTCTCATTCAATCTTTCCTAGGCTTCCAGAAAATGCCTTCTGGCTATTCTGTGGGCTCGCCCGCGTTCCCCCATGCCCCCTCCACCTCATCCTGGACAGTTTGGTGAAAAGGAACGTCCACTCAGGCTGGTTTGGGCACAGTGTTATTTTCCAGCTCTTTCCCTACCGGTAAATTGATACAGTTGTGGGAGGGTTTGAGACTTTTTCTCCCCATATTTCTTTCAGAAGGGGGGGGGCGGTGTCTATATCTCTGACATAGCTACTTGTTCCCATCTCTAGGAAATTAGACTCACACCCATCACTAAGGGTAGTTGCATATATCACCATCACCCAAAAGAACAAAAAGGGTGTTTCTTCCCAATCTCTCTAGCATTGCCTTCCAGACCCACTGTACAGGAATATTGTTTTTCTCCTCTAATGCGCAGCACTGTCAGCTATTAAAAAGGGGGCTGGCGGTGTTGATGTTTTATTCTTCTTGGCTTCCGTGACTAGTGACTAGCCCCTTTATTTTACTCTAATCCCCCAGGTAGAATTTTTTTTTCTTCCCCCAGGTAGAATTTACATGTTGTATGGGACAAGTGAACTTAAAAAAAAAAGTTTAAAAGAGTGCTTCCGTACTAAAGCACTCCCACCTCCGCGCAGTAGTTACCAGTGGGTGAAGTTTTAAGTGCTCGGTTAGAGTACTGCAGTGCCCCTTAGGAAATGAGAAGGGGAGTTTGCCTGGCCCTTCCACGTAACAGAGTTAATGTCTCATTCCCGCAGTGTGGTCCTCATTTTCAATTCAAGGGAGACGGAGACACATTTCTCCCTACGCCCTGTTTACTGTTCTGAGGGTTTACAGATGGCTACTGTGTTGGCTATAAT